TAGGTCTGCGCCAGTTAGGGTCAGACTAGTTATAGTCATTCACCTGCTCTAACTCAGTGTGCGCCCTCTATCAGTAAACTGCCTTCAAGCCATTACTCAGAGAAGCTATCAGATAGTGAGTACAGTAGGGTTTAGGGTTAGGTTTTGGGTCTAGGGTAGAGTCACTGTGGGTCCTTGCATGACACCCAGAAGGGCTAGGAGGAGGAGGTGGGGATGCTCGTTGATGATGGCAAGGGTGACAGTGGTGAAGGGGGTGACTTGGTTTACCACTGAGAAGATCAGTAAAAGGAGTGGGGGTGATCTCAATGGGGGACATTACTTGTGTTCTGTTGTTAGCCCAGTTGAGAGCTTGTTTGTCGATGGAGGTGGTGGAGAGAGGGGTGGGGGTGTGCTTGAGGTAGATTTTGAAGGTGTAGGTGTCCTTGAGGATAAAGATGGTGAAGGTGAGGAGGAGAATAAGGAGAGCAGTGAAAGCCCAGCTGACAAGGAGGAGAGCAGCGAGGACGGTGATGGATGCCATTGGGAAGGATGAGGGAGAGTAGTTCTTATAAGGAGTCACCCTTGTTTGGTTTGCAGGAAGTCTGCCAAAGCGTCTTTGGCATATGAAAGTTCGGCTTTCAGCAGCCAGGAATCGTCCGAGGCCAGGTATCCCTTGCATGGTACCCGGTACAGTGTTTGCTTGCCAACAGTCTTTGAATCAATGATACATTCAATTTCAAACTCCTCCTGGTTCTTGATTAGTTCCGGGGGTGGTCGGAGGTAGTTTTTTCCATGCATTGTTGTTTCCAAGTAAGGGTAAAGTAATCCTGCATGGAACACAGGATGAATCTTCTATTTGGGTGGTAGTTTCAAGTGGTAAACTACCAACGACAACTTCTGATCAATGGTGAAGGGTCCATAATGCTTTGGTCTGAGCTTAGCTTTCGGATGGAAGCCTTTGAGGTTAGTGGCTTCCAGCCATACCTTCTGTCTAGGTGTATATTCAATAAACTTGTCCTTATTCCGTTTCTTGACTGTTTCCTCTGCTAGTTGGATGCTGGATTAGATTTCTGTGCAAAGGTGTGCTAGCTGGGTGAGTTTAGAAGCAATGTCCGGAGCATCTGTTGTTCCCATAGTGGGAATATTATGCCAAGGTTGGTAACCCATGAGCACCTGGAAGGGAGATGTCTTGATCACATCATGATATCTATTGTTGTGTGCGAATTCTGCTAGCAGTAGATGATGTGTCCAGTCTGTTGCGCGATGATTGCAAAAGATCTGAAGGTACAATTCCAAATCTTGGTTGACGTGTTCTGACTGCCCATCAGTTTGAGGGTGGAATGCACTAGAGATGTTCTGTTTAATGCCTAATCTGGTGCATAGTTCCCTGAACATTCATGATGCGAACTGGGGTCCTCTGTCAGAGATAGCTTTGACAGGTAGTCCAAATCATTGGAAGACATGGTTCTGATACAGGGTGGCAGTTTCAGAGGCTGTGACTGTCTTGTTGCAGGGTATGAATACCGAAGTCTTGGTACAGTCGTGATCGGTTACTACCAAACAGCTGTCAAAGCCATCACTCCGAGGTAGATCCATGATGAAGTCCATGGCGATGGATTGGAATGGAAGGTGATGTTCCATTGAGATTGGTACTAGATCTGGTGAGTTCCTATGTGTGATGACCTTGTTTTCTTGGCAAGTTGCACAACCAGCGATGTATTCACTGATGTTGCACGCAAGAGTGGGCCACCAATAGGTTCTTTGGGGGATCTCCTGAGTCTTGTATTGCCCAGGGTGTCCTGTGGTAGGTGAACTGTGGGCTTCTTGAATGAGATCCTGTTGAAGTTTAGTGTCTTTGGGTATGTAGACCCGTCCTCTGAATACCAGCAAGTTATCCTGAATATCCCAGTTTGGAGGAGTATGCTTGTCTGTGGATGAAGTGTGCTGTAATGCCAGCCGAAGACCATGATCGGCAATGCTGTCCTTGGTTTTGCAGGTCAAGATGTGTTGTTTGATGTCTGTATTGATGGGTTCGAGGTTCTGAATGCTTGAATGAAGACTTCTGATGGAAAAAGGACTTCTTCCTCAGGGAGTTCACCCCCCCCTTCAGATGCATCTTGATCAATACGTGATAGGGTGTCTGCTTTACCCAACCAGGTTCCAGGAACGTGACACGGTTGGTAATTGAACATGGACAGGTACAACGCCCATCGCACTTGTCGAGGATTCAATTTCTGGGGGTCTTTGAAATACGTGAGGTTCATATGATCTGTCAATACTTCCACTGGTTTGGCACATCCTTCGATGTAGTGTCGCCTGGCTTTGAAACATCTAATGATTGCCAAGAGTTCTCAATCCTAGATTTTGTACCGTTGTTCTATGAGAGAGAATGACTGGGATAGGAAAGCACATGGATGCCATCTTCCATCAGATTTTTTCTGAGATAGGATACCGCCAGAAGCTTTCAGGGAAGTATCGGACTCTATTCGGAATGGTTTGGTAACATCAGGTTGTACCAAAAGTGGTTGAGTCTTGAAACATTCCTTGAGTTGATTGATGGCTTTGTCATGATCATTAGTCCAACTCCACTTGATCCCTTTTACCAATAGATTGAATAGAGGTTGTGCAACTTTGGAAAATCCTGGAATGAATCGGTGGTAGAAGTTGGTGAACCCTAGGAACTGTTGCAGTGCTTTGATGCTGTCAATCTTTGGCCAATTTAGTACTGCTGATACCTTATCTTCTGCCATTCCTATTTGTCCTAGTCGGAGAATAAATTCTAGAAATTTGACTTCTGATACGTCAAAAGAACACTTCTCAGGTTTGAGAAACAGATCTGATTCTTTCAGACGCTGAAGGACCAGTTGAGTGCATTGTTGATGTTCCACATGGTTGGTGGAGTAGATGAGGATATCATCAATATAGATCACTAGCCATCCTTCTAGTAACAGATCCACAAAGATGCCATCCATCATAGCTTGGAAGGTTGCCAGAGAGTTTGTCATCCCAAAGAACATGACAGTTGGCTTGAATAACCCTTGTGGAGTGATAAACACTCCTTTCTATTCATTGCCTTCTTTGATCCGTACATTGTTGTATCCTGCGCATAAATCAAGCTTGGTAAAGATAGTTGGCTTGGCAGAGGCAACACCATCCAATAGATCTTCTACTCTTGGGATTGGGTAGGCGTTCTTGATGGTAGCGTCATTGAGTTTCCTGTAGTCCTGACATGGTCGCAGATCTCCTGATTTCTTGTTGACAAAGAAGAATGGGGATGCCATAGGAGACTTTGATGGACAAATATATCCTTTCCATAAGTTTTCCTCGATAAAGGTGTCTAACTCTTTGAGCTTTGCCGGTGATAATGGGTAAACCTTTCCTTGCTGGGATTTGAAGTTTGCTTCCAAATTGATTGCATGATCCCAGGGTTTCTGTTCCAGTAATCGTTCTGCTGTGCTGTTGTTGAATACAGAGAGGAAGGTGTTTAGGTATTCTGGGATGTTACTAGCAAGGGTCTTGATTGCTTGTAGAAGTTGATCCCAGCAAAAGCACATTTTCCCCATGATCCAATCAATTACTAAGTTGAAACGTTTGAACCAAGAGAGACCTAGAATGATTGGGTTCCTATCCAGTACTGTGGTGTAAGCTTCTATCTTCATTGGTTGTCCTGATAAGGATATAGTAAAGAAGACTTTGTGTTTGATGGCTGTGGCTTTATTTGGTGATCTATCAACATTAAACACTGGTCTGGGTATAATACTCTGGTGCTGGAGGTTGTGATCTCGAGCGAACTGGATGTCGATATAATTTTCTATTGCTCCTGTGTCAAGCAATACCTTGGTGGTGACGGTTTTGGCATAGGTTTTCAATATGCAAGGCAAATAAATAGATTTATGAGCTAATCTTGCCTGATATAAAGAATCCTTAGTGCCAGTACTTTGATTCGACGTCATGGTGATTGAAGAGTTCAAAAATCCTTCTCAGAGAATATAGCCTGAATGTATTCTTCGGCTATGCCTTCCTCATTGGAGGAGTCCTTGATCTCATCCTTCTCCTGAGTGGATGTGTTGTGTGATTCAATTGCCCTAATGTGATTATTCGGGCATTGACAGCTTTGATGCCTGGGTTTGTGACATCTGAAACATAACTTCTTCTCCATGTGCTCCTTGTGATCCTTATCTGACAGACATCTGATTCGCTGACTGTTAGATGATACTTCTTTTGATGATCCATCCCTAGTCTCAACTGCCCTATTGCGACGTTGATATGTCTACGGAGTTCCTAACCCTAAAATAACCTAAAAGGG